GCTATCTGGAAGGCCAAATGATTGAGCCTCTTATTTAGAATGTCATTTTAAGACTAAGGAGACCTAGGCTGCATCCACATTGCAGAAATAATGCAGTTTGACACCACTGTAACTGCCCGACTCCATGCTATGGAATCCTGGGATTTGTAGTTTGTTGTAGCACCATAGCTCTCTGACAGAGAAGGCTAAATATCTTACAAAACTACAAATCCCAGACTTCCATAGCATTGAGCCATGTCAATTAAGGTGGTGTCAAACTGCATTATTTCTGTAGTGTGGATGCAGCCCTAGATTAAAATCCTCACTCCTCCTTGAAATTCTGTCAGCTTAATCTATATCCCAGATTTTGTTTTTGTACCTTCAAGTTGCCTGTTGATTTATGGCAACCTTATGAATTCCATAGAGTTTTCTTAGGCAAGGAAAAGTCAGAAGTGGTTTTGCTTGTTCCTTCCTCTGAAATATAGCCTACAATCTCCCATCCAAGAATTAACCAGGGCTGACTCTGTTTAGCTTCCAAGGTCAGACAGGATTTGGTGCCTTTAGAGTATTTAGGCCATATCCCAGGTATAAAGGATGTGAAAATAAAATGGGAACATGTGCTACCTCCAGTTCTTTGAAGGAAAGCTGGGAAATAAACATAGGATAAAGTTCTCCTTGTTTTCAGCTTTTTGTTATGTAAAACAATGTTGCAATTCATTTGTCATTTGTTAGCAATTCATTTGTTAAAAAATAAAAACCACATACCAAGGTTTGAATGAAAATATTATTTTATTCTCTTCTAGCTATATTTGAGAGGAAGGGACTGGCAAAACTATCTCAGGAGAAACCTATGAAGTTCATTGGGTCACCTTAAGTCAACAGGTGACTTGAAGGCACATATACACACACAGTATCCAAACATTGAATCCCTTTTAGCATTTTTCTTTTCTAGAAATATAGGCAAGCAAAGTACAAGCTCTGATGCCCATTCTCTATGCTTTAAAAGCACCCTTCATTAGTAAAGGTACACTCTTGTTTTAGTCATGTGGACAGTTGTGGTGTACAAGCAGAAGCTAAATCAAAACATTGCTAATCCTAGGATTCCATATGATGGAAACATGGCAATTAAAGTGGAATTATAGTGCTATAATAATGAGCAAAGTTTCAGAGTCTCTTGGAAAACTCATTCTTAGGGGGCCCATAGAACATTATGATTCCATTTTAGCTATGCAATCCTCAGATCTGCAGTTTAGGGAGAGGTATTTAGAGCCAACACGGTGTAGAGGCTTCAGTATTGTACTGACTCTGGAAACCAGGGTTCAAATCCCCGCTTGGCCATGGAGACCCACTGGGTGACCTTGGACAGGTTAAACTTTCTCAGCCTCAACTCACTCCTGAACAAATCTTGCCAAGAAAAGCCCAAGACCTTGGGGTCAGCATAAGTTGGAAATGACTTGAAAGCACACAACCACCACAAATTTAGAATTCTCAACCAGAGAGCTCTAGAGTACAAATCCCAGCATTCCATACATCGGAACCAAGGCAGTTAAAGTGGTATCATAGTGTTATAACTGTGTAGTGTGAAAGACCCCTGTACAAATTATAGCTAGACAACCATGCTCCTTTTCGGTGTTTCTGTTACATTCTCCCCAACATCGCATGTTTCTCTTTCCCCACCTCCCTAACAGGTAATCAGCCTTCTGTGTTTGCTATTAGTATTCCTTGGGTGGAGGAATCATTGGAATAGCTATATTTCACTCTCTTTTTCCTTGAGCCCTGCAATTTCTGTGTGTCAATTTTGTAAGAAGATACTATTGTTTAAAATGACCCTCTGCCTTGAAAGTCTTCAACAGGACCAGTCAACAAGAACACATATTTATTGCCCATGTTACCAGGGAGCGCTCATGGTGTAGAGCAACAATAGGAAGCCAATAAATAAAGGCCAGACTCTAAAAACATGTGTAAGAAAAAGTCTGCAATACAATTTTTAGAAGATGATCATTACCACCAGAAATCGAGACGAAAAAGCAAGTGGGTTTTCTTCAGCAGATTGATCTGAAACTTCAATGTGTAGAAGAGGTTGGTGTGAGGATAGTCTATACCAATTTTGATATAAAAAGGCAAAGGAATTACTTGTTTATACAATCGCCACATAAAACAAGAGTGAGGCTTAGTTTTTTTAGAGGAGAGGGGAGCATATTAGTCCAATGAAGAGTTTTGTGGCACCTTAAACATATTTATCTGGCATATGCTTTCTGGCATATGCTTTCATGAATTGCAGTATAGACATCATTGTATTTATGTTGTTGTTGTTTTAAAAAATCTCCTTCCCTTTCCTGCCCACTGTTTTAAACTGTTAAGCTTCCTTCTATATGTGCATGTGTGTATTTGAAGTGTGTATACTCCACCCTTTCTCCAAAAAGCTTCCCAGATCAGCTTACAGATAGGACAGTCCCTCATACCCTCAGGTATATACCGTAGGCTAAATAAAACAAGGCACACAAAGAAAAGGGATGGTCATGGAAAAGGGGGGAAAATACTATAATGGTTTAAGCCCAGTCCAAATCTAACCACAGTATATTATACCACAATGTAATATATCTGTCGTCTAAATTGCACAGCCTTTATAACAGGGGAAAGTGCAGTGCACATCCAGACCCCAAATCCCATTTTTTAAAAAACGAGGGTATGATTTTTTAAAATGTAATTTTTAATCACACCAAAATCACACCAAATGCATGTAAGTGTGCAAAAAAGCCTTCCCTGCCCAATTCCCCATATCTCCATTTCCCTCCATATGGTGTCACTATTTTAGAGAAGAGACAGAAAGA